CGTCTTACATTTTGAGACAGAGGGAGCACTAAAGTCGTCTGAAAAAGAAACCAGTTCAATCAAATTTCCCTCAACCGTCCGATCAATATCCCACAGGCCAGAGTCATGTTCTTCCTCCTCCTGCGTCTGCCCGTAGACTCACCCTTCGACGCCGGATGAACTGTCGGCTCCCGCTACTCTTCGGCGCCGCATCCCCGTCTCACCCTCGGAGCTCCGCGGATTCACTGGCGCCTGAATGTTTTTCGGACGCCTAAAGAATAAGCAAGCGCGCAATAAGTATCATTATATGCCATCACATAGAAAGTGATCCTCTCAGTATCCAGTCTCCATAAATGTTGCCCTTCCTGCACCAAGTTCCAAATGGGGGACTCAGTTGAACCAAGTCAGCAGAATGGAAGCGATGCCATAATATTGGGTACAAATGTAGGTGTATGGATGGAGACTTGCAGTGTGACAAGTGTACCCTTGGAGCGCCCTCAAGGATCCCAAGACTGGAGATGCATGCGCATATGCACAAAATTTTAACACCAAGTCAGGCACCGGAAGCCACCAAATCATCCTGCAACAAAAGAGTTCATTACATACTGAAGTTATTTAAAATTAAAGCTGATAAACATATGAACACCTGAGGACACAGTCAGGCGCTGGAAGTCTGCAAGCTAATGAACAAGAAATCCCGCAAACTAAGGTGCATCATCAGACAAAACAAAAACAGAAACAAAAAGCTCTAAGCAACGATTTACTCCCTCCGTCCCAAAATCAGTGTCGTTGTTTTAGTTTAAATCGAACAAATTTGAAGTAAAACCACGACATTTATTTTGGGATGGAGGGAGCACAAAACATCACACTGCGGCACATTGCTCTGGGATGAAGGAGAGTGGCCGCCGAGAGTGGCCGCCTCGTGGTGCGTGGGCGTAAAGTGCATTATCCGTCACCAGTTCAACTTCAGCATACAGTTCAGCCACCCTTGCCACCAGTTCAGTTTCGCTTCAGCATACAGTTCTTCTCCACTTAGTTCTTCTCCAGCAGACCTGACCTGCCACACATCATGCGTCCACTTCTGGGCAACAACAAATCAGTGCATTATGATATCTCCATCGTTTTCATTACCGAAAGAATATTGTACCAGATGTCTTCCAAAATACCCGTACTGCATGGCAGCATGAGTTCTAGATGGCAGCATAAGCTTAATTATAAGCTAAGGTCAAATATTAGGATCCAGCATAAATTGCCCTATAAATTTCATCTTTTTTTCCCTGTTAGCTCAAAGTGTCGGTACTATTACTTCTAAGGCTGCTACAACACCACTTCACGGTAATTCAGTTCGAGTGGAGATGGCATGGAAATTCAAAGCACTCGCTTGGCAGTTTCGAATATGGCCAATGGCGGGGGCTAGGAATCATAGAGTGGTGAAACCCAAGTGGAAAAGGGAGGCCTCCATGTCCATGGTCGGTGGGCACTGGCAAGCAGCTAGGAGGCCTTTTTGCAAATCTAGTAACCAGAAAAGGCTTGCCAGCCAACAGTTATGGTGTTCCAACTTTCCCAGCAAACAGGATTTTCACCCTGGTCCTGTCATGCACTGAATATTTTTGACAGCAATATGTTAGGCAGAGATCTGACAGAAGGAAGTGCCTGTGCGCCGTGCGTGCGTACGTGTCGTGCCATGGCTGGTTCCGAAAGGCAACTTTAATCGACCAAAAAATCAAAAACGATTCAGAAAAAGCATCACTGATCTGGTCCGCTGCGGCCGGTCACTGCAAACTCTCACTCAGCGTTAAAGGGAAAAGGGTGTGTCTTTTTCCAGCCGCTGTGCTGTTCCAACATAGGTATTCTTCAAGATGCAGCCCCCAGCTAATAATGAGAGATCCCCTGATGATTCGAACTCCAAGTGGCATGCATGTAAACCTCAAAAGTTCATTCATGGCCAGAAACCCCACCACTACCATTTCTACTGTGTGCAAACCTGCCGCGGGGCGCATAAAATTAGGACGCACTAGATTTTGATGTGGGCGAACCAGCTAACACAATGACCTGATAGGCACTAAAAATACTACCCTCCCTGTCCCTGTTGAGTATCTGCCAGTTCGTATCCACCTACTGAACTTCCATTCCCATTGTTCAAGTACTATGAAAAGATCACACACAGTAAAGTGTCCTATGAAAATAATAGGCACCTTAATCTTTCCACTGTACTGCCTTCAGGGTGTTTATCAGTTTGATTCGGAACCACTATTCCGGCAATGGATCGATCAACTAACATGGAAGGATAAGATGAATTAGTTCTGAGAATGAAAAAATGAATCAGATATTGTATAAACACATACTTGGATCAACTTTCAGGGACTATCATTGTCCATGATGAATTGACGCCATACGGTTAAATAATGAGCCGAAATATTGATGGAACAAGCAGGATCTCATACTTGAAATGACACTGCTATATTCCTCTGATGCTGATGCTTCCAAGCGTTTCTAGGTCTCCAGAACAAAGATTTCCTGCCTATAATTTATTTATCAACTAAAGTTGCTGTTTTATTCCCTGCAACGCGTTTGACTACCATTGACAGCTTATGTGTTCAATTTTCTGGGCACGGTATGCAGGGAGGGTAAATTTACATATATGGATGAATATGATAACCCATTTAAGGATTACAATTGTTAGCTCATCAAGAAACTAGTTCATCTTAAGCTATTGATACTTTCCAATTTTTCCTTCTTATGTGAAGTTGTGAACTGAAGTTGTGGTTCATACTCTGACAGTCTGATATTAACCGCACTTGAAATAAAAACAGGTGGGTGAGCGTGGTGTCCAGATGTCTGGAGGGCAGAAGCAGAGGATTGCTATTGCCAGAGCAATCCTGAAGTCACCCAAGATCCTCCTCCTTGATGAAGCCACCAGTGCACTGGATACTGAGTCAGAGCGTGTCGTACAGGAGGCACTCGACCTGGCCTCCGTGGGCCGGACGACTATCGTCGTTGCACATCGCCTCTCCACTATCCGCAATGCTGACATGATTGCTGTCATGCAGTACGGCGAGGTCAAGGAGCTGGGCTCCCATGAAGAGCTCATCGCCGATGAGAATGGCCTCTACTCATCTCTAGTTCGCCTTCAGCAGACTAGAGAATCGAATGAGGTTGATGAGGTCAGTGGAGCCGGCAGCACTTCCGCCCTGGGGCAGTCCAGCAGCCACAGCATGAGCAGGAGATTCTCCGCGGCTAGCAGGTCAAGCTCAGCCCGGTCACTGGGTGATGCAGGCGATGCCGACAACACTGAGGATCCAAAGCTTCCTCTGCCGTCCTTCAGAAGGCTGCTTATGCTCAATGCGCCAGAGTGGAGGCAGGCGCTTATGGGAGGCTTCAGTGCAATTGTGTTTGGAGGCATCCAGCCTGCTTATGCATACGCGATGGGAAGCATGATCTCAGTCTACTTCTTGACCGATCACGGCGAGATCAGGGACAAAACAAGGACCTACGCTCTCATCTTTGTTGCCCTTGCAGTGCTCTCGTTCTTGATCAACATTGGACAGCATTACAACTTCGGTGCCATGGGAGAATACCTCACCAAGAGGATCAGGGAACAGATGCTAACAAAAATCCTCACTTTCGAGATCGGATGGTTTGACCGCGATGAGAACTCCAGCGGTGCCATATGCTCACAGCTTGCCAAGGACGCTAACGTGGTAAGTACTAGACAGAAATTAAGCATGTTGATACTTCAATGGAAATTCATCTAACCTTGCATAATGATTTTGTGTTTTGTTACAGGTGAGGTCTCTAGTGGGTGACCGAATGGCGCTGGTGATCCAAACAGTTTCTGCGGTGCTTATTGCTTGCACCATGGGTCTGGTCATTGCCTGGCGCCTGGCCCTTGTCATGATAGCAGTGCAGCCTCTCATCATTGTCTGCTTCTATGCTCGCCGTGTCTTACTCAAGAGCATGTCCAAGAAATCAATACAGGCACAATCTGAAAGTAGCAAGCTAGCTGCTGAGGCTGTCTCCAATCTCCGTACCATCACGGCCTTCTCATCCCAGGACCGCATCTTAGGCCTCTTCAACCAAGCACAGAACGGCCCACGGAAGGAAAGCATCCGGCAGTCGTGGATTGCAGGCCTTGGCCTTGGCACTTCCATGAGCTTGATGACATGCACATGGGCCCTGGACTTCTGGTTTGGTGGCCGGCTCATAGCTCAGCACCACATTACTGCCAAGGCACTCTTCCAGACCTTCATGATTCTAGTAAGCACAGGGCGTGTGATTGCTGATGCAGGTAGCATGACAACAGACCTAGCTAAGGGTGCTGATGCAATCGCCTCGGTGTTTGCTGTTCTCGACCGGGTAACAGAAATCGACCCTGACAACCCTGAAGGATACAAGCCAGAGAAGCTCAAAGGCGAAGTGGACATCAGAGGAGTCGACTTTGCATACCCGTCAAGGCCAGATGTGATCATCTTCAAAGGATTCTCATTAAGCATCCAATCAGGCAAGTCAACAGCCCTGGTTGGGCAAAGTGGCTCTGGCAAGTCGACCATCATTGGGCTTATAGAGCGATTCTATGACCCGGTGAGGGGAATGGTAAAAATTGATGGCAGAGACATCAAAACATATAATCTTCGAGCCCTGCGGCGGCACATTGGACTGGTCAGCCAGGAGCCAACGCTATTTGCCGGCACAATCAGAGAAAACATTGTGTATGGCACAGAAACAGCAAGTGAGGCAGAAATTGAGAATGCAGCAAGGTCCGCCAATGCACATGACTTCATCAGCAACCTCAAGGATGGATATGACACATGGTGTGGCGAGAGAGGTGTTCAGCTGTCAGGAGGGCAGAAGCAGCGCATTGCAATTGCCCGTGCCATCCTGAAGAACCCGGCCATCTTGCTACTAGATGAGGCTACCAGTGCACTGGACAGCCAGTCCGAAAAGGTGGTACAGGAGGCACTGGAGAGAGTGATGGTTGGCAGGACAAGTGTGGTGGTGGCACACAGGCTCAGCACAATCCAAAACTGTGACCTGATCACTGTGCTCGACAAAGGAATTGTTGTGGAGAAGGGCACACACTCATCCCTCATGTCAAAGGGTCCCTCTGGAACATATTATAGCTTGGTTAGTTTGCAACAAGGAGGCAACCAGAACTAAAGTATTTCCATGACAATAGAGCACTCGTATTTGAATTAGAACTGTAAGCAAGGATGGCGATCAGATCATTTAAACTTTCGGCGACAATGGGCTATTTTTCCTCCTGTTGCACTATCAGTATATAGAAGTGTGCCAAGCTTGTAGTTTATTCATATAACTGCTGGATATGTATTGCAGTGATGCAAAGGTCAAGAAATCTTAGATAAGCAGTATAGTAGGTTTCTAGGTTGTATCTGTATTTATTTTTCTGTCTCCTAATAATTATTCAAAACCACTATACTTATTCACAACACGGATTTGTAACGGCATGAGCTAAGTTTCACAATTCAAAAGTAGGAACAAACATTAATTAAAGTTTTATATCTTTGACCCAGATGTGGATTGACAACGAACACAAGGAAACAAATAAATGAGGTCTACAATCCATAGAGCGGTAATAATACGACAAAGTCATAAGAACAGATAAGAGACAAAGTATGTGGTTGCAATTTTTCTATGTTAGTATCAAAATGTTAAAAGACCAGCAATTTTTATGAGATGTGAGCATGAGCAGATCTAGTGCGTAGTCTATGGGAGGTATCCCCACTCCCTCCCCCAAATAATTTGCAAAACTCACTAGTTCATATACATGTTGTATGTCAAATTTAGAGTACAAACCACTAATGTCATTGACGATTTCACAGCACACAAATACCAGCTTTATTTGGACAATTGACTTGATGAAATACAACACTATTGTTAATTTTAAATAGATTATTAATGTCACTTTTACTAACATAACCCTGCCACTTCTTGTATCAACACTTGTTTATCTGCTACTCTGTTGTACCTAGCTAGTTGGGGTTATATCAGATACATTAGAGCCAGTTACTTCTCTTGGATCTTGCTTTAAGTATTGCAATCATCCAATTCTAAGACCATTGTTGGACAGGTGGGCAGAATAGAGCAAGAACTTTGAGGAGTACTTTGAAGGGCTGGAATTTAATTATGAGTGTTTCTTAAAAAAAACAGTATCCATAGATACAGTGAGGTAAATGGTCTAGATTTGACTAATTTTAATCTGAGAAAGCAGTTGAGTGAACAGTGCATCAGGAAAGAGGAGCGGGTCAAGTGGTTTCAGAGGGCTAAGATGACTGAGTTTCTTAAAGGGGATTCTCTCACTTCCTATTTTATTTCTAAAGCTAGTGGTAAGAAAAGGAAAAACAAGATTTACTACAAACCTCCAAAACTTATATAATCACTGAACATCAGATTGCATATATAATTGAGCATCACATTGCATTATATAATTGAGCATCACATGTATATTTCTTTGCATCAGGAAGAGGTGGTTGTACAGGGCGGTGAGGAGATTTTGATATGCTACTAATTTCTTGAAAAATTGTTTGGCCTTGTAGAAGATAGTGTGCATATATCTATACAGGTTCCTTTGGAAAATGTTCTAGAGGATTGTGATAGAGCTAAATTACATGCACCTTTTACTGTAGAGGAGGTTAACAATGCTACTTTTCAAATGAAACGTAATAAGACTCCTGGCCTAGATGGTTTCACAATAGAGTTTTATCAGCACTATTGGCCTTTGATTAGTAAAGGTATTATGAGTTTGTTTGACGGTTTTTATCTAGGTAAATTACGTCTTGCTTGTCTTAATTAGAAGATGCTCTAAGACCATTTAGCAGAAATATCAAATATCAAAATAGAAGTAAAGATTACTAATTTGGTCTTGTGAGCAACCATGTTATTTTGGTTTGATGCTATTTAGTATCCCCAGTTCCCATCTTGTAATGGCTAACTTTGGGTCTTGGCTTTTTTATGGAGGGCCTAGGTCACCAAGATAGTAGTAGCTTTCTGTATTTGTATTCTGTCTGCTCTAGGATAGTAGTTATGGGTGGGCACAACATCTGCAGTTTCGTCTAGAAAGTCTAACTCGTGGAAAGCTTGCAAATTCCCTGAAGTTAAGCAGGCCCAAAGTTTCACGAACAAGTGAGCTATTAGCAGCTAAGCTAAGGTTCGGTCAAACTGCGGCCACCACTATCTTTCACCACTGCTTAGGTTTTGCTGATGGAATAAATAATAAACTAGAGCAGACATGCTCGCTTTCTCTCTATTTTGGGATACATGTGACATTTTATTTTCAAAACGCTATTTTGAATATAGCACGCTATAACTTGTATAGCATTTGGAGAAGGGCTACGCTATTTTTGGTAGAACTCTATTTTTTACATTGGTTCATATGCATATTGTACGTCAAATTTAGCCTAGCCCACCAACACCTCAACAAACAACACACCAGTAATGTCATTGCAGATTCAACAAGATTAGTTTCCAACCAGGTAACATTATTAATGACATAGGAGTAGAAGAGATGATAGGCTCAAAATTTTAAGAAAAAATCTTGTGATCTTTCTATTAAACTTATGGAGATTATAGAGTTAACTTCCAAAATGTTAATTGTCAAGCCATATACAATTTGGCTTCGATATCACTTCAGCACTGGCACCTATTTCAAACCATTATCATTTAACACATACATATCTGAACTATTCGGAGTTTTATAACACGCGTCTGAACTATTTTGTGAGCGCAAAAGGCATTCACGGTCCCTTGGCTGAATTTGGTGCTTCGACTCAGAATGTACCTTTGACTTTACAGACTCCGTAAACCCGCTGAATTGTGCTAGCCAACGTTTTCCAAACAAAAAAACATGTGCGTGTGAAAAATGGCCCCTGTGTACTAAGTAAAATCCTAAATCCGCCATTCAAACCAAGGAGTGAAACCCTCTTGAGCCATGACTAATCAAGGCAGTTTTAGCCCACAGTCCGAACCCTACGACGAGCATTTGATAACTCTACCAGGCAACATCAGCAGGTGCGAGTAGAATTGGTGGTGGCATCGGTTTGATTCACCTTGTGGCAGTGGGGGCGAGGTGGATAGGTCTCTCGTGGTGGCGCCGGAGAGGCCTTCGGGCGTCATCCCGTCTGAAGGAGCGGAGCGCGGGCGATGCGCTGCGGCGGCGGGGCCGAGCAAGCGGGGTCGGGATTGGCGCGCGGCACACAGTTTTGGGGGAGGTGTTCTTTTTTTTTTGGAGAAATTCTTGGGGGAGGTGTTGGGAAGCTTGCAATGTCGTGCCGCTCGGGGTGATAGTGGACGGTGCCGGCGGGGAGCGGGCGCCGGCAAGGCGTGTTGCTGCGCGGCGAGGACGACGGAGGCTCTTTTTTTTCTTTAGAATTACGGCGGAGGCTAATGGGAATACCCCTATTTGACGCACGTTGTGTCAAATTGTCGGCCTTTCGCACACACTGCCGATCGAGCAATGACTTGGGCCGGCCCATTTAACGTGTTGCAGCATATCCGGTTGTGGGAACCTTCTAGAGCTTCCCAGCCGGGTTTTCTGGTTTTGGAAACCTTCTAGAAGGTTCCCTGCAACGGTTTTTTCTGTTTCTCTTTGGTTTTTCGTTTTTCTGTTTTTTATTTCTTTCTTCTTTTATTTTAATTTTTCTGTTTTTTTCTTTTTTTTATTTTCAACTTTTTTTCCTTTCTCAAGTCAATATTTCCTTTGTTCCAACCATTTAAATTTTGTTCGGGTTTTAAAAATATGTTCCAATGTTTAAAATATGTTCACAAATTCAAAAAAAATTGAATTCCAAAAAATGTATAGGAATTTGAAATAATGTTCATGTATCTCAAAATTTTGTTCAGAAACTTAAAAACGTTCATTTTTTCAAAAAACTTCCGGAATTGCAAAAAATGTTCGCGGTTGCAAATTTTGGTCTGAAATTAAAAAATGTTTGAGTTTGAAAAAGTGTTCAGGAATTTCAAAAAATGTTTGTGCTTTCAAATTTTTGTTAGATATTTCCTAAAGTTCCGTTTTCAAAAAAATCACAAATTCAAAAAATATTAGCCGTTTCAATTTTTGTTCGTAATTTCATGAAATGTTCCATTTCAAATATGTATTCCAAAATTCAACAAATGTTTGTGGTTTAAAAATCTGTTCGGAATTTCATAATTTGTTCAGAACTTCAGAAGATGTTTCACGTTTTTTATAAAAATTTGCAGTTTCAAACTTTTTTCGTAATTTCATGAAATGTTTCATTTTCAAATATTTGTTCAAATATTCAAAAAATGTTCGTGGTTTAAAATTTTGTTCACAACTTCAAAAAATGCTTCACGTTTTTCAAAAATATTTTCTGCAGTCTCATTTTTTGTTCACATATGAAAAAAAATGTTCTTGACTATGAAAATGTTCAGAAATTCTAAAAATGAATTGCACTTTTTCGAAATATAGACCATTTTTCTGGATTTTTTAACAAATTTTAGGTTCAAGAACATTTTTTGGAATTTCGAACAAAAAAGTCAAAAAACAAAAATAGAAAAGGAAGAATTTCTGGATCTACGTTTTATTGTTCTTATAGTCTTTGCGCTGGCAAGTAATCACTAGTTCTCATCTACTACCCCTACTAGTAAGCTTGCACGTGCAATGCATGTCTTTTTCGAGTTTAAAATTTGAATATGAACATGTTTAAACTTCAATCCACATATATCTAATTTAAATTCCTTGCATATATTATGCCAGTTTAAATCAAGGTAAGATCCAGACTTCGCAAATTGCGAACTTGCCTAAAGCTTATATTGAAATTAAACCCATTGACGTAAATTTCTTTCCTGATGAGTCAATGCATACCTATTTAATTTCATATGCTCATAGGTGGATACAAGATCAACATCAAAGGCAATCCACCCCTTACTGGTCTTACACACACACATGAGCTCTCAAAATTCTGGATTTCACTATCATCTATCATATCACTACAATCTAAACACCATGAAGAAAGAGATAATGCCAAGGCAGCAATTATTTGTATCTTGCATGGCTTCGGTCCTTACAAGGCTACTTCCTTTCAGCTCGAGTCCATGGGTGCTAAGTCAACCAATTCATCAAGCAGAACCTGCATTTCCATGTGCTTCCACAAAATGCAAAGCAAACTTAGCGGTGGTCATTA